TTTTTCAGCGCATGATCGCCATGGAACCAAAAAAAAAAAAAAACCCCAACTTTTTTTGCATTTGTTTTGAACATCGAGTGTCCCCAGACATCATTTGTCGCTGCAACGTGATCGCTATAAACGTGTTAAACTGGCCCACCTTAACGTATATTTGAGAACAGCATCTGATCACTATCTTCTCATACAGTGACAAAGCAACCCTTCAACTGTCCGCGTGGGAGCATAATGTAGAAGTCAATGCATTTTTGAATTTTTACACGAACCGGACTGGCGATCAAGTTTTGGGGCCCTCTCAACCCTAGTTTGTGGCCACTGACTCAGGCATTACCCCACAAATCAGGAGCCTTCTTTACAAGGAAAGGTCTTTATATTTCTGTTGCTTGCGTTTAGCGCGGCTCCCTTCCCACGGACTTATTTCAGAGCGCCCGTGATTGAAGAGAAATCCTGCGTACAGAAAGGGTGCTTTGTCACCTTACAAACGAAAACATTGTTTTAAAATTACAAAACTGCTATGGCTTTTCGTTCCTTTGCTGTCCGATTTTTTAAAATATAACTCGGAATCTTTACAATGGCCTTATCCTGGAATGGGGGAGAGAGGCGAAATCTCTAGAGCACCTTGAGAAGGGCCGCTTCGGCTACAATTCTACCAACTCTTTTTCTTCCCTTGAAGGGAAACCCCTTTTAAACTCAGAGGGGCTTACTTTTGAGTAGGCACGTATAGAGTTGTGTTGAGAACTCTAAATGAGTGTGAAAGAAACGCAGAAAGACAAGCTGGCAATAGCAAAGAAAGACTCGGGAAGAATATAATTATGAGCAATTCCAAAATAAATAAATTAAGTATCCAATTCCTAAAACAGTTTTTTTTTAAAAAATAAATATTTATTTTATTGTCACCACTCTCCCTTTCCCCCCCTCCCATTTGAAAACTGGAAAAAGAAAAGCCGCGGAGCCCAGAAGGACAGTTCCGCTTCCAAGAAGGCAAGAACCAAGGAAACCGGGATTTTAAAAAACGAAACAATCTGGCCGGGACAGGTTGAGGGCCTGTTTTATTTATCTGGTGTATTCTTATGTTATCGCGGGCCTGACCTTGCCGCCTCCAGGAAGCGGGGGGCCTTGAGCCCGGCAGCTCTGCCCTCAGGAAGACTCAGCTGGAAGGGGCGATCTCACCAGACGGGACTCGGGAGCCCCGAAAGCCGGTGGGACGGCGAGGAGGGACCCTCAGCCTCCCTCGCTTTCTTCCCACCGCCCCTCTCCCGGCTGCTTTGTCGGAGCCCCCACTTCCGTCTCCGGCGCCCCGGTTCGCTTCCCATACCTTGATGGTGGTCTCCGGGAGGTTGAGCGCCGCGGCCAACTCGCAGCGCCGGGGCCGGGAGACATAGTTCTCGCGGTAGAACTCCTTCTCCAGGCGGGCGATCTGTTCCCGGGTGAAGGCGGTGCGGTACCTCCGCACTTGATCCGCACTCGAGCTGGAGTTCCCCAAGGCGCTCCCGCCGTGCAGGCTGCTTAAGCTGGAGCTGGAGGACGACGTGGTGGTGCCGGGAGTCGAGCTGCTTTCGGAATAGCCTACCAAACAAAACGAAAGCATCGGAAGGAGATTTATTCGGGAATAGATGCGCGGGTGCGTGGGTGTCAGCGAAGCGGAGGGAACCGCCGGCAATCGGCGCTCCCTCTCTGGTCTCCTTGATAATTAATGCTCGCTTGTCAGGGATACAAATTGCCGCTGTTAATAGAATCAATAATTAAAAAAAGAGAGAGACTTCATTTTTTTAAAAAAAGATCTCATAAAAGAATGAGAAGGAAATCAGGCATCTTCTTTTAAATATAATAAATGAAACAGTAAAAACGAGTCTACTCGTCACAAAAAAATGACCAGCGAAAAGGGGAGGGGAGGAGATAGAACCGCCTTTTATAAAATCCCTGGAGCTAAGATTTTTTCCGAGGCCACGGGCGCGTCTTTTAACGGTACACGCCTTTTCTCATTTATTTTTGTTATTTCATTGGCGTCAAAATCGCAGCTATGAACAAGACGAAGCGCCTTTGTGGATGGTAAATATTCTGATACTTTTGGTTCAATGCCTTTCTATTCAGTCACCACAGGTCCTCCAGTTGCATCCAGTAGGATTGGTTTCCGTTCGCTTCGCTTTTCAAAGTTCTTACCAAGCTTTGACTCCTGAGGATAAATTATTTCTAGAATGAAAGAATCTGGTTCTTATTTTCTTTTGTTTCATTTCGTTGGGGAAGGACACACATCGGGAAGAAGCACGAAATACCTGAAAGGTTTTTGTTTTGTTTTGTTTCTCTCTTTTTTTATTAAAAAAAATCCACGTTTCTAGTGAAAATATCAAACAGCCGGTTAGAGACACCCAGAGCTAATTTGTCTAGGTTAAAAGAAAACAGCCAGGTACACTTTGTATAAACAACACCGAACGAAGTATATATAAATACGACGTCCAACAGCAACCTGGGAAATGCCCGGTTGTAAACATTGTGTCATAAATGCCGAGCGGCACAATTGCGCAAGAGACACCTGTCTGCGCTTGCAATATAGAAACAGGCTCTCCAAAATACGCTGCGAAGGGATACCTCGGTCTCCAAATGAACGCGGAAACCCCTCCAGGAGCCAGGCGGCCAATGCATTCAGATATTGGAATACCCTGTGCAGTCAGTCTATAGGAATAAACCACCCCCGGTCTTCCTGTGAGCCGCACACTTGGAGCAGAAATACAGCCTATAAGAGTGTTTAAATACCATGTTGCATTCATTTAGGTATCCCGACATCTTGGCTGGCGTTTATAGTTTATATACCTCTAAAGTGGAGGTTTTCTACTCCGGGATACCCGAGTCTACTGTCAGCTTTCCACAGAGAACAATACAATACATGATTATTCGACACCCCCATGACCCTTTATTTAATGCACTATTTATTATGGGGCATCGTCTGTGAGAGACAAGACCTTTAAAGGGAGAAATAAAGAGAGGAGGGGGTAAACCTCGATGTTTTGTTTCTGCTCGGCGCCTAAAATGCATTGGTTTCGCTCCCAAGTTCTTGTCCGACTAAAGCCCGCTTTGGCTTAAGGAATGGGGTGAGGGGTAGACCGAGAGAGAGAGAGAGAGAGAGAGAGAGCGAGAGAGCGAGAGAGAGTTACCTTTGTTATTGTTTTCCTTCAGCTGGGAGGAAGTCAAGCTGGTGGGCGAGCGGAGCGCGGAGCAGCCCACCTCCACATCGCTGTTCATATCTGCCTCTTGAGCAACTTCTGAATAATGGCTAATTTTCTTCCTGCTTTCAGAGGCGGGAGGCGGCAGCTCCGAGGCGGCGGCGGCGGCGCTTTCGCTGTTCTGGTGCTGAAGGTTGAATAAGGTGTCTATTTCGAATTTGCCTTTGGCAGGAATGTCCCCTATAGAGCTGTGCAGAGAAGCGGAAGTTAGTCTGGGGCTGAGGCGGCCGCTGTGTGGCGAATTTTCGAGGGCCTCCAGGACGGCGTTCCCGGCCGGATCGGACAAATTCGCCAGCCTTTTGCCAGGGCTGTGCAACCCTCTTTCCATCAAGATCATCTCTTTTCTTATTCTTTCCATCATCTCAGCTCTTCCCCCTCCTTCAAAAAAAATTATATATAAATATATAAAGTCAAGGTGGTGGGGGCTGGTCCTCTTAATGATCAGCTTGCAGCAAGAGCTAATTCGCATTCAGCCCGGCAAGTGTCTCTAAATATTATTACCTCTTTTGGAAGGAGGCGTAAAGAGGAGGGGGGGGATAAATATATAAATGAAACGAGAGACTTGTTTTTTTTAAAAAAAGGCGAAGGGACTGACTGGTCAAAATGACCCATACATTCTCTCTAGCTCCGAAATGTCATTCATCACGAAAAGGAGCGCTCGCCATTAAGGTACGAGTGACGCTGGTCGAATAATCATTTATTGTAACAGGTTTATAAGCAAATAAATACAAGATCCTGTCAGCGGATAATGAAGGCGGCTTCTGAGCAGACAAATAGATCCAGGTAGGGAGGCAGAAAGACCAGGAGTGAAGAGAAGAGCGCGTGTCCTGGCCTCGAGCAGATCTTGCATGGGTTGCTCTGGGGTTTGGCCTCTGGGGTGAAATTGACAGTCTGATTAATAAAACGAGCGTAGCAACATTTCCCCCTTCATTTAGGTGCATCATTATGCTCTGATCCCCCACCCAACCGCTTCCCTCCCTCCCCCGCCCCGTTTGCTTTTGTGTGTGCGCGTCTGTTAGCTTTTTAAGCTCCTAACGATGCAGCTTCTTTCTCGTTTGTCCCCCAACCAAACACACACTCTAAATGACAGGCGGGCGGCTTTGATTTCGAAGAAGGCTTTTTTCGAGAAAACCTGGCGAGACAAGAAAACCTGCCAAAAGCTGGCGGTGGGAGGGGAGGGGGAAGAGCATTCTCCCCCCCCGCCGCCGCCGCATTTCGGCCACTTTTAATCACCTTTCCTTCCTGTTTAAGAAACGAATCCGTCTTCTCTTAAAGAAGAAGAAATGAACTCCCCTTTGCACACGTATGCAAACGCCCAAACGGGCAGAGGCACACACACGACCACAGCCACACGGAACACCCCCATTCAGTCTGAACTATCCCGGCAGATACCTTCGTGCCCAACGGCGTCCCACGCGAACCACAGCCTGCGCCCGGAACCAATAATTGTAGTCCCGGGAGTTCATTGTATTGCCTTAACGCACCCACAAAACAAGTTTTTTTAAAGTGGGGTCTTTCTGTCCTTCTGTTTATGAACGGAGTGATTCTTCCACGTTTGGCTCAAAACCTTCTTTTGGTAAACTGACTGAGCACCCGCCTCCAAAAACTCATAATAATCCCAAAACACAGTTATATACATTTATTTTCACATTCGAAAAGTCTCAGAGACATGATTTAAAGAACCGGCGGAAGACGGGGAGGAGGGGAGAGGCCTCCATTCATGTATTTATTCATTCACTCTTTACCTAATTTCTTTTTCACTTCCTCCGCCTTTTTTCAGTCGTCATGTTATGTTAAAAAAAAGGGGGGGAGTGGGTGGGTGGATGTGGGGGGTAAAGGTCTGGATTTCAAGATTTCAAAGGCGTCTACTATATTTAAAGAACCGGCGGAAGACGGGGAGGAGGGGAGAGGCCTCCATTCATGTATTTATTCATTCACTCTTTACCTAATTTCTTTTTCACTTCCTCCGCCTTTTTTCAGTCGTCATGTTATGTTAAAAAAAAGGGGGGGAGTGGGTGGGTGGATGTGGGGGGTAAAGGTCTGGATTTCAAGATTTCAAAGGAGTCTACTATACTGGCCAAGAGTGAGAGCCGGTGGTCTCATCACCCCCATCTTCCATCCTCCCCCTTCCCCCCCCATTCCCGGCCGCAAAGTTACCTGGCTTTCAGTTTGCTCATCTGTTTCTCCAACCTCTCTCTCTCTCTCTTCCTCTCTCTCTCGCTCTCAAGATCTTCCGAGATTCCGTGGGCCAGCCAATCTCGCCGAGCGCCGTGAGAGACGCGGGGGATGGCGTTTCGCCGGCCTTCCTATCGGAAACTCTCTCTTCAGTGAGAACTTTGATTGCAATCATGACGCCGAGGGCGACCGCTTAAGCAGAGATAAAGCTGCTGTCATTAGCATGCCGGCAGAGACCCCCCCCCTCCAGAGCTACTGGCTTTTCCCCCTTCCCCTTCTTGCCCCTTCCTTCGCGGCCTGCTCGCAGGGAGCTCCCTTGCCCTCCTCGCCCCTCCCCCACCCGCGCACCCTCCCTCCCATCACGCCTTCCCTTTGGATTCTGATAAAGTTTCTGGGTCGGATCCAGACCTCCTCGGGCTTTAGAGACGTCCCATTGAAATCGGTGGAAACCCTCCTGGCCGCGACTGGTTCGCTGGCATCCGCAGCGCGGCTGAATCTGAGGGAGAGAGAAAAAGAGAGGCTAGAAATACCTCAGGTCGAATCAGGGCGGCAAATCTCGACCGCAACTCTCAGACATACACTTCCTTCCAACAGAAGAGGCCCTGGCTCTAATTCTGAGGATGAGAAGTCCAACTTTAAGATGAAGCCTCCCGTTAAATTAATTTTAGATTTACTTAAAAGGCCCGGATCCTGATATAAGATATAGTCCAGGCTAAATGGAGCACTTTCAAATCCGATGGATTTCAGCCGGCAGAGGCCCGCCTATGTGGCTTAATTCTTAATCATTAAAACCGATAAGCCTTGAATATTGTTAATGTTAACGGTGTCTATGTCTTTTCCTTGAGGTGCTCTGGATAATCTGCTTGGGGAGGTGGAAAGGCGAGTTCGAGCCTTATAGCAAAACCCGACAGAAAGAGGCCAGGGAGCCCCTGCATCCCTTATATCCATCCGTCCGTCCGTCCATCGTGCATCAGCTGCAGCTACGAAAGCTTCTAAGAAATAAAGGTTGTTCTTTGTGAAGGCTCAGCAAGACTGTGTCTCGTTAGTATTTAAGATGCCACAGAATTCTTGGCGAGGAATCTCTGCAGAATTCAGGCCATGATTTTCAGATCAAAGGGAGGGAACGGGCCAGGAGGCTTACCTGCCGGCCACGGAGAGATATGAGTGGGGTCACTCTTACCTCCGGAATGTTGTTAGTGCTTCTGGTATCCTTTTGACTTTAATTTAATCCAAAGGAAAACCTCCCGGATCATGCAGTTCCTAAAGAAGAGGGAGTACACTTCCCTAAAACTAATAGTAAGAGTAGTTTAGGAATGCCTGGGTCATACGGAGCATAGTATGAGGGAAGGTAATGGTGTCCCTGCGATTCCTTTTATGGGTTCCATAAAATACTTAATGCAATTCGGTTCTCGACGTCTCGGGCTAAACCTAGTGCTATGTTCCGAACAGAACCACACCCACTGAATCAACGGCCTTTCCATAAAAATGACTTACCTTTGTCCCCATTGAGGCAGTGGGTCTACTCTGAGTGGAACTAACAATTGGGCATAGCCCCTTACTCGGAAGTAAGCAGCAGAAGCAGTTCTGTTCACTGATTCTCCAGCAACTTTTCGGATGGGTGTTGAAGGAGGGGATGGTCATAAAGTCCTGTTTATAATTCAACTGAGGAAGACCTTCCATTCTCACCAGTGTGAATTTTGCTGTCGCAACAGAAAGAAGTCTGGGCGCCTCTCGCAACAGGAAGGCATGAAAACAAACGATAAATTAAAAACAGAGCTTCAGCCCCGCGTGTCTGAAATAGCATTTCATAACACAATATCCTATTATCCTGAAATGTTTAAGATGCTAAAAACTGCTGTTGTGTATTTCTATCTCTCCGGCCTCTGGCTTTGTGTACCAGTTGCACACTGAGAAGGGGCACAACTGGTATTATTTGGAATTAGTGTATTCTGAGTGAAAGGACAAAGTCGCCTTCATCTCAGAGACCATCACTAGAGAAGGGAGCAAAACATTAAAGCCGGCCTTGGGTTTTCTGCGGTAAGTCCTGGAAAATAAGTCCGTCTCAGGCGCTCCCCCTCCCTTTTTACCAATCCACTCAAGCTCTGTTTACTGGGATCCTATAAAATGACATGGAACTTGGAGTGCCCCGAATTTCCGAATGGAAAGCCTTGGCTATAGAAGGGACCGTCTGCCCAGTTATAGGCCATGAGGCCCACCAGCAAAACGAACCGTAAACCTGTTAAAGCAGTGCTAGCTCTCCCACCCAGACGGCAAGTGAATGTAACGAGTGGCTCCGAGATGCAAAACACCCCCTTCTTTGACACGCGTTTTGGTTATCTGAAGAAGCTTCGGACAAGCCCGTGGAGCGAGGAACCATTTCTCAAACGGGGAGCGGAAGTCTGCGGGCGGCTTTATTGTTGTCCTTTGGCGCCCCCGTCTGTTTGCTCGGCGGCTTTAACAGTCTCGGCATCTTCGTGCGCCCCTTCCCCCCCACCCCCCGTCTTTCTCAGTCACATCTTCAGAAAATCCCGAGGTACATAACCACATCTGGAGCATACACACGTTCGTCGGGACAAAACCCCTAACCCAGGACTCCTTTCAAACCCAGAAGGCTTCAGGCCACTTCCTGCAAAAGAACCCAGATGTGCGTTGCTGTTGTTTTTGGGGTAGAGGCGTTGTGTTTTAATTAAATGTTCCTTTGCAGTCGAAGAACGGCTGCATCAGGTGTTACTGGCGAGTCCGGCCGGGCTTTTCCCCTTTATTAGTTTCAATTTAGATTTTGCACCTTTTAAATAATACCAATACTTGAATTTATGTGAGGCGTCTTTGAAAGTGTAGCTGCCTTCCTCGGAGAGCGAGAAGTTTTAGTACACGCCATAAAAAGCACTTTAATAACCCATAGCTAAGGCTGCAATCCTATCCTCTCTTCCCCCCCCCCCCCAATTACCTGGGAGCAAAGCCAGCTAAACAAGGTGGGACTGACTTCTGAGAAAACATGCCCAGCGTTGCTCCCTCTGTAGGTATTAGGTTACGGGCAGCGACCGCCATGGATTTCGGTCCGCCGTTCGTCAGGAAGGCGTTACAAAGCCCCACCACCGACACCGTGGCCATGGGATATTCCGCGTTTCTAGACGACCGGATTAATCGGTTCTCGGGCGCAACAGAACTCATTTCCATTCAGGAAAT